ACAAGGGACCCAAAGCAGCTCATAACAGAGTAGCTGTACATAACTTCCAGCACGTCACAGAGCTAACCCAATGCATGGATGACAGCCCACTCTGGTGGATGAAAGAAGAGGTTATCAGGGCTGCCAATCCACATGCGTACACAGGAGTGTACCAAGGAGGCATCTGCATATGAGATGGCCCAAGGGCCACAAAACCCAAGGCATTAACATAAAGTGGGTGGCACCTTAATCTGGATAAAATGGTGGAAGAAGATAAATGGCAGCAGGATGGCAGCATTTGCCCACTTTGAAGGGTGTGACCCAAGGAAGCAGAGCAAGGTCAGAAAGAGACAAGACAAAAATTCTGTCTATCCAAAAAACAAACCAACAAACAAAAACTTCTAAGCTAAACCATACATTTTTTTAAAAAATTTAAACAATAGCAGTAATACATAATTTGTGCTCCTGAGAGGAAGGCATTCTACAAATGAAATGGACAAAAAAGCACATTTGTGGGCCTATGCAGCCCAAGACAAATTCCACATGAGCATTCAAAAAAAAAAAAACCTGAGTATTTCGCATCAGAAAACTACTGAGAGCAAACGGTCAAGTCCAAGATCCTTTGCCAGCATCCTCACCAGGCTAGCCAGTGGCCTTAAGCAAAAATAGCAACAGCAGCATAAGCTGAATGGATTGTGCAAAACCTTCAAGCAAAACAATGGAGAAATTGAACCAAGGGCCTCATTCTGTACTCCGTATATTAAAAAAACATGGAACACCTGCCCAGCCATGAGAGTTATAATGCAAGGGCCAGCTGAAAACTAGAGATGATAAAAACTGCAGACCCCCCCCACTTCAGAGCCTAAGGGTTTCCTTTCCTCCTCCCCCCCCATTTCCTTCTACAGAATAATTATTCTCTAAAAGGAGATGGCTTCCTCTAGTTCTAACAGGGTTTTTAACTCCTTGGTTTCTCAAGAATGCCTGCCATACATCGCAGTGGACAATATGACTAGTGTTTCCATACATTGGTGTGCAAACAGATACAAAGCGAAGAATCCAGCAGAATGTCCCAACCATGAGCCTGCATCACTCTTGTGTCCCCTCCAACTTCATGTTTCTTATGCAGGAGTTACAAATGGCAAAATATTAACTCAAACAGGGTTAGGGTGATTCAAAAAGGATGGAGGAATACTGACACACTGTTTCATAGAAAAAGCGATACAAACGTCCCCTTTTGAAGTCAGTCTAGATGTCATGAATGTAACAGACTATTTGGCCAGTGGTTTGCAGTCTGTAAGGAAACAATGTATTTCAAATCAAATAGTAAACATTTTCTTTCACAGAAAATTAAAGCTATGAGAGAGCACCCGGTCTCTGAATAGGACAGAATAAAACGGAGATCAGAGGTAATGGCCCTGTCGATCGGGAAGACAGGAGAAACACCAGGGAGAGCCAGTAGCACAACGCTGCAAAGAATTCAACCTGGAAGGTCATCTCGACTGCCAGCCCTACTTGTCCTTGGACAGAAGTAGCAAAGTGAGTTTGCAGGGCAGATTACGAACACGAAAGAGTCCCAAGCGCCAGTTTTATTACAAGACAAAGTACATTTCTAGCAGCAAACACTGCTCAAGAAACCAGAAAACATCCATTCCAACTCCTACATAGGACCACGATGGCTTTACTCTCTGCACGTGGAAAGGGCAGACTTACAGAAGGGTGTGCAGGTACGAACACACAAGAGGAGTTTTGCTGATGCACAACTAGCTCACCCGCTTATGGAAGAAGCCATGAGGGGCCAAAACAAAAGGACATAGGCTTGAGGGGCTTTCCTTAAAGCCTCTTCAGAGGACATAAGGAATAAATGGGTGGACGCTCCCGAGGGCGAACTACAGGGGCTTGGTGAGAGTTTCTGTTATCCTTACTTTCCAGAACTCTGCAATGTTTCTCCTCAAACACCTTCAAAGGTGATCAACCTTGATGCAAAGGCTCACTCCCAGAAGCAAGAGTGCACACATCTGATGAACAGCATGAATGCATAAGAGCACAATGCGCACACCCACACATGGAGCCATGAGTGAAAGGTACAGCTTGCTCAATTTAAGAACAGCTATTTAATGAACTTAACCCCTAAAAATACCACATAATCAAAGATGATCTGTCATGATAAATGGAACAGAAAGGCTGAGTGCTTTCCTCTTGGCTACAGAAACAACCATATTTAAAAACAACAACTCTAAAGATTAGTCATGGTATTTGTCAATAGAGCCAAGTAATGAACATATCACACATGACAAAGTGATGTTAAATTTCATCCAGTTCCTTGTACCACTACCCCCACCCCCACAAAGATACCCAAGTCCTTGTGTGCATCTGGAGATAACTGTGAATATTTACAGTCAATGTTCTGAACAGCAATGAAAAAAAGTACTCAAACAATCAGGTCTCGCATGGCAAAAAACCCTGAAGTTCTGATGTGTAGATTCGGATGAACACCTTGATTTGGGTGCCTTATATTTTGCAGTCACCCACAGTCAGTTCTGAAGGGAATTGGCACAAGATATTTTTTATACAGATCACTTTTATCCATTAGCAGTGGGAGCACGACAGGGAAAAGAGGCTTCGTACAAAAACACTCCTCATGCCCCTCTGAAAGTGAGCTTCCTACACAAGAGGAGACTGGATAAAAATGAAAATCTGGAAAAGGCATAGCATGTATTTAAAACAAATGAATAAACAGCCAATACCAAAAACAACCCACCCATGAGAAGAAAATACTACGGCTTTTATTAAACCTTTCGCTGAAACACAAACCCATGACAGCCTACTGATGCCTCCCTTGCCCCCACCCTGCCTGCGCCATGGCAGGTGTATTTGGGAAACAAGACATCAGGCAGGGGCCTTGGGCCAGTAAATAAACTCCCAGGCCAAAGGCCATTACAGCTCTCCATGCTCCCTCCCTCCCTCCCTCTGGCTGAATCTGTGAATCCTGCAGAAAGCAGGGGCCGGGGAGGACAGGGGTATGATGTCTGGTTGTCCCCCCTCCCCTCGACTCCGACTCCCTCCCAAGAGGCACTGTTGCCTGTCACCATAAAATCAGGCCTTTGTTAGCATACAAACACCCCTGGCCACTGTGGACGACTGACTGACCATGGCTTGCCCTGCCTTGGGGAGGAGGCCTCCAGTCCTCAGAAGGAAAAAGCTTCTCCCCCAACCCAGTTCTGTAGCCACTCTCAGCAGGAGACCCCTCTCAATCCCTGGCCAAAGGAGAAATCTGTTCCCAGCAGGCCAGAGCATCCTTTTGTCCTGCCAACTCTTATAGCCCAAGGAAACCCTAACCTGTAACAGAAGGGGTGGGGTGGGGCCTGAACATCCGGCCTTTACAGCAAGGACCTCCCCCCCCCCGGCTCCCGGCCAGGCTGGGCCATCCTATGACAGATGCTTGTGGCTGTCTTGCCAAGGTTTACTCTTATCAGACCCAGGCCTGCTACAATCTCCTTTTCTCGTCTGTCAAGAGATGGGATGCAGTTCAAAACATGAACAGACCCACAGAACACATCATATGCCACTGCCCCCCACACACGTTATTGCTGCTGCTATTTTCTATTCACATCAGAAACAGCAAGTATAACTGTTTAACGTATTGCCAGCTATTAGACCACACTTACTTTAAAAAGAAGAGACCCCACAGTTTACCCACCCACCCTGATCCCTTCTCCACCTCCACACGCACATCCCTCACCAGCTCCAACCAATGCCTCCCAGCTTAAGAATGATACAAAAGACATTAGCAGTCCAGGGTGCCACACCACCACCTCCCATTAAGGTGGGGGTGGAAGAGGGAAAGAAAAACAGCTAATATAACATCCTAGCCTCCAACTTTATCCATTTCTTTTGTAAGCCAAGGCTGAGCTGTTGGCCTTCATGGAAAGGCAGGAGAGAAACGAAAGACAAATCACAGGCCAGCCCTCCCTCAAAAGCATCCTGCGATTGGCTAGGAGTGTCCTGACCTCCTCTTGATCCCCAGTAAGGATGTGTTCCTCTTCCCACCCCTATGAAACCTCTCCTGCCAATAGCACCCCCTCCTGCGTTAAAGGTGAAAGGATCCAACCTTACACAAGAGCTGCCAGCTTCCCCCCTCTTAAACCAGGTCCTTCATAAGACAGAATCCCACTCCCACACTATTTGAAAGAAAGATGACCCCTCTCGCGTTCCCTAACAAAACGTGATTTCTTCCCATAAGTGGGACAATGAGAGAGGAGAGTGTTGCAGCTGCTTAGTCACTACTCCCCCCCCACTTTCCTTCCCCCAATATATTTCTCTGGCAAGAAACCACCACCCTGTATTATTTCTGAAGAGTGATGAGGAAAACAAAAGCCCACACTCCCCATAACAGACCCTTGCATGACACCCAATTGGGACAGTGACCTGGGGGGGGGAGAGAGAGAAGGAAGTCACCTTGTGATCGCTACTGCTTCCTCTCCATACATACACTGGTGCCACCCCATAAGAAACCCATACCCACCCCGTGTTATTTTTGAAAGGGGGAGGGGCATAATAAGCCCCTCCCACCAAGGGATTCCATCTCCCCCCCCACCATTTAAGGCGCACGTTGTGTAGGTGAGTTTGTCGGATGAGGGAGGGAAGGGGGCATTTCACTGCTTCTTTACCCCAAGGACTCCCCTCTCCATACCTGAAGGGGGGGGAGAGCCCCCTCCCCACGGGATGCCCAAGCCACGCCCCCCCGTGTGGTTCCCCAAAGGGGCGGCCAGGAGGGGGGAAGGAGAGGGGCCCCTCCCTCCGATACATCCTCCCCTCCCTCCCTCCCTCTTTTCCCAGTTGGGCGTGTGGAAGCATGGGCGTTGTTGTCACCCTCCGCACCCCCCCCCCAAAAAAACACAACCCGGTCAAAAGGCTTCACGAAGGTGGGGGTGGGAAGCCTCTTAACCCTTTCCCCGCCGGGGCCCAAAGCAGCGCCTGCCTTCCTCTCCTTGTCCTCTTCCTCCCTCCATCCCTTCACTCACCCACCTCCTCCTCCTCCTCTTCTTCTTCCTCCTCCTCCTCCTTCTCCCCCGGTGCCGTTTCTCCTGCCGGGGCGGCTCCCCCAGGCCTCCTCCTCCTCCTCCTC